CCTTAGGAAATGACTCCTTCTCAAAGATGTCTTCCAGGTGTAGCTGGCTTTTGGGTTTTGAGTCTGTTGCAAGAGCCTACCTTTTCACTTTATTGGGGATGAGAAGTTGCTGCCTATTTGGGCTACCCCCTGATTCTTTGGTACTGGCCTATAGAATTATTTATGACCCTTAACCAATCTCAGTCTTGGCATACCAGGAAGAACAACTGATCAGAACAATTACATCACATTGGCTAAAGTAGTACAATCAGCAATAACAATACCATCAAACACAGCCTAGAAAATGACAAACTGTAGTAACTATTAATTTGCCACCTTTAACCATATGAGCTGTATTTGTGATTATATAACAAAATCTAAAACAACCAGAAAATTGTGTATAATAAACATGCCCTCAATATAGCAGTTCTACCCTCAGGAGAGAAAATTTAAAAGAGGTTAGGGAGAAAAAATAGAGAAATACAAGAAGAGGAAAATACTAGAAGCAAGGCTGGAGGACAAAGAAAGATTATGGAAACTTTGGGAAACTGGTGAAGAATGCAGGAGGGAAAGAGAGAAGGAAGAAATAAAAACAAGAACAATCCAGAAAAACAACAACAACAAAACTAGAAGCTATGTTCACACTTATATAAAAACAAGAGCAATCAAGAAAAAGGAACACAAACAAACAAATAAACAGAAGAAAAAAAAGTCCACTTCAGGGCATGTTCTGCTGTCACTGGTAGACAGAGTGAGCAGACAGAGCCCATATCCATGTTGTTTAATCCCAGTAAGCCAGATGCAGATTTACGGCAGGGTACTGGATAATCCCAGCAAGCCTGCACCTTTAGTTCCACTGAAGTTCAGGTTGGCTTCTGGCTGTGAGGCTGGAACCTGATTTGTTCAGCCTGCAACACTCTATGTGCCTCTTGCTGGCTTGAACTGTGCTCCTTGTCAGCTTGAACTTGGCTCCTTGGCCTCCTGCAGACTTGAACTCAGCTCCACCTCATCATGACACTGGGAGCTGCTAGATGGAACTAGCCCACAGCTGCTCTGAGTTCTGAGCTCAGTTAACATCTCTCCAAGATGGGTACTAGCCAATTGCCTGCTCCTGAGGCATGTCTGAACCCCAATAACTCACCAGCCACTGCAGTCTGCTGTGTCCACTGCTACATTCCACTAGTGCGTTTCTCCATGGAGGCCTCTGAGGTCACCAGTAGTCACTGTGTGTCTGCAGGTTCAAGCCATCTTTCAGACACAGGGAGTTAGGGTTCAGGGAGAGAGTGCTGCTTGCCACCTCCTTCTTCTGTGTTGAGGTCTTTCTCTTTGCTCTCCCCATAGGTTTCAATTCTCATTTAAGATTCTTTCTGGGTCCCAGGGACCCATTTTCCTTCTTCTCCTCTTCCTCACATTGCTGTATTCCAGCATCTGTCACCAAATCTTGGAGAGGCTGTTTCTCTGCTGTTCACCACTCTGCCATCCTCCTGGAAGTCTCACCACAAATCTTTAAACACAGATTGTTATCTCCATTTTTTGTTATTTACAGTTTTGGAATCAAAGGAAAGCAACCAAAGCCTCCCTCATATTTCCATTCCTCTCTCTAGCTCCAGGGCCTTTTTTTCACCACCATCTTTTAGAAAGAGGTACAGAGGAACCCAATACAATTGTGTGCACTTCAGTGTTTTGAGAACTCCGCATACATATCATAATTGGAAGGGTTTATACAACAAAACTGATAGTGTTTTAGAATTGGATGCTCTAGAAGGGAGGGTCACAGAGAGTAAGAAGGTCTACAATAGAGATCAATGGCTTTTTGATTAATTCATGCTCTGTGGCAACTCATAAAATGCTGCTCCCTATCATGCTACAATAGTTATTTATTTACTCACTTGTTTCTTCCCCTAGACCTGCATTGGGCAAGACTCTTTCATTCACTTTTATTGGGGCAGAAAAGTGAAGTAAACAGGCTTTGGCCTGGGTGGATGTCAGTGAGACGGGTCCTCCTGACAGCTCCCATAGCTTCCAGGAGACTCTCTTCCTAAAGCTCATCATACTTCTTAATTACATGTTTCCAAGATGACTGTGTGAATTCCCCTCCAGATTTTAAGCTTCTTGAAATTAGGATCCCATCTGTTTCAGCACTGCCCTTCCAGTGCTTGGTACACAAGAAGTAATTAATGATGCCAGTCAATGCCAGTCAATGCTTGTTACACAGGAAGTAATTAGTAATACTAGTCAATGAATAGTTGAAATAGTTTGGATCTGAATTCCAGGGCTTCCCTTGTTAGATGTGGGAACTAGAACAAGATTCTTAACTGAACCTGTTTCCCCCTCAGCACTTTTTAAAGGATTTAAATGAAGCAAACCATGTGAAGTAGTCTTTTGAACATCACAGTGCTTTGGAATGTTTTGGAATAAGCTAATGAATATATGAATTCACTGTAATTAACAGAAATCTTATATATACTTGGGACTTGGAAAAAGTGTTTCATTTCTACCTTGGAAAAAATATATATTCTCACTAATTCATAGAGAGACCAATTTTCATAGTCCTCCAGATGCCTGCAGCCTATGTAATTGAGTAGTCACCAAGAGTCAAGTGACTTTCTGACCTGGATGCTGGTTAACTGGTTCAACAATCACCAGGAACTATTACTGTTCAGTGCCAGGCAGGAAGGCAGGAGTTGGAAGAGAGGGTAAGACAGGCCTTTGTCCCTGAGAATCTTACAACCTTGATACAGACCTTTCTATGTATAACTTTGGTACCTAAAGCTAAGAGGTTACTGATGTCTGCCCAGCACAAACTGAGCCACCTCTAGCATGGGGTGTGACTAAGGGCAGCGCACACCTGACCGGATTCTGGACAGAAGTTACTTGGGGATCTTTTTCCTAAAGATATGCAGATTCTGCAGGTCTAGGTGGGGAGGCGCTTCCACCTCCATGCATCTACCAAGGTACCCAGGGAACAGATGTTAGTCTGCGCACCTCTGTTTGCAAATCAAGGGTCTAGGCTGGAAAGATATAGCATGAGCAAAGAGGTGTGAGAACAGGTATTATAAATCTCAGCTTTACTAAAAGTCCAAGGCTCAGAGGGGTTCAGAAATGTGTCCAAAGGCTTATCTCATAGCCAGGAAGTGGTGGAGCTGAGACTGCACCCTGGGTCTAAAGTCCCAAGTTCTTGTATCCTCCTGCTATCTTAGGCTGCTCCTTACAGTGGCACAGATGTGAGTGTGGCTCCATCTTTCCCATAAGTCCACATGGAATGCCCTGATTTCTTCTTGAGGATAGTGTGCAATACTTTTGGAGAGGTTTAAGGAATGATGTGGGACTAGTATCAGAAATCTGGGTTCTACAACCAGCAGTTCCCCCACTGTCTGTGTGCCCTCACCCACCACCAAGTTATTGTTGTCTCTCTGGATTTGTTACTCAGATGTGAAGTGAAAATTTGGACTCTGGCTTTAAGGATCTCACTAGCTACTTCCTGGGATCCAACGGGAAAAGGCCACTTACAGAATAGTGTTGACAAGCTGCTGAACCTGCGTAGGGCTACTTTTTCCAACTGCAAACAGCACACTGATCTTGGTGGCAGGCAGCAAGGCCTGAGCCATGTGGTTCATTTCCAAGCCTCAAAACCAAATGGAGCTTGTCTGGCTGGACTTGGAAATGACCTCAGGTTGATAACTCCTTTATTCCCCCTCCCATGTTATCCCTTTTGAGATAGGAATATCTGTCATCCTATGCCTGTCCCATCACTGGAAGCAGTGACTTGTTACTTGAGGGCTATAGGTTCACAGATGCAAGCAGTTATATCTCAGGATGGTTTAAGTCTTATTCTTACCTAATGTAGATGGTTTAGTTTAGATCATGAGAGTTGGGATGCTGAAATTTGGATTTAGTTGAGTTTTTTTAAAATTTGGAGTTGATGCTCTAACGTTTTGAGACTAGAGAATATTGGGATAAGGTGAATCTATCTTGCATGTGGGATGGATATAAATCTTTGGGGGTCCAAGGGTGAACTGTATAGTCAGAATAATGGTCTCCAAAGATGTCCATGCACTGATCCCCTGAATCTGAATGTTGTACTACATGTCAAAGGGGAAATAAAGTAGCAGACAAAATTGAGTTTGCTAATCAGCTGACTTTAACATAGGTAGATTATCCTGATTATCTGAGTGGGTCCATCCATGAAATCACAGAAGCACCTAACTGTGGAAGGGGAGGAAAAAGGGGAGAACCAGAAATGGGGGAGTGGGAAGGCTCTGGCCCATTCTCAGTGCTTTGAAGATGGAGGAGGGCCCTCCAGAAGCTGAAAAAGGCAAGGAAAAACCTTCTCCCCTGCAGCCTCCTGAAGTGTAGGATAATCTGGGTGTCTTGTTTAAAGCCACCATGTTTGCAGTAGGGGAGCTAACATAACACCTGTCCTACAATTTATTGCTTGTGGATCATAGACAAGCCATTGTATCTTTGCATGTCTTAGCAGTCCTTATTTCTCAAAATAAACTGCTGTGGGAGAGTGAAGAGCAAATAGCCTTAACAGCCCGGCACACTAGTGAGTGATAAATGTGAATTCCCAGCTTCCCCTTTGCTTCCAAGTTGGGGAAGTGCTAGGAAGAAAAACAAGAGCCAGATGCCATTCTCTCAATGCATGTTATTCCTTAGATGTGGACTGTGAGGACCCCCACCCCAGGAAGCTCCCCAAGGCCTTCTTATCTAGAGCATGGCTCCTTATCTGCCTTTGGGGGACCCACAGCTCCCACCTCCTTGGCGAAAACCCTTTTGAGAAGACAAAGTTCTTTAGAAGGGCCTGAGATGAGAACAGAGCCAGAGCTTCATTCTGCAAAAGGCTTCCAGAGATCAAAGAGCAGCTGAGTCTTCTGAATCTCTTCTACAGCCGCCATGTTTCCCATCAAGGGAACCAGGGCCCAAAAAGAGGCTCTGTCAAAGCCTTGGCCTGTGATTTGCCATCCTCCTACCCACAGGTCCGCCTGAGAAAAACCTCTGTCACATGGCCAGGCTTCCCATGATTTACTTAGTTGTGTTATGAGCTTTTATTTAAAAAGCACATTTAATACAAGTATAGTTTCGCAGATACAAGTTTTCACTTTGTATGCTACAAAAGTCTTTGAATATTATTCTCTTTACAAAATGGAATCTTACAAAAATACTGACAATTTAATGTTTTTTATACAATTTTCTCTAGTTGCAGTTATTTCTCTCATTGTAAAACAATGGCTACCACAGAGCTACAATATTTTAGTTGAGATTAAAAAAATTAACTCAATGCTTTTTTAAGCAGCTAAAGTAAATAACACAGGTCGAGACACAGTTTATAATCATAGTGGATAAAGCTAAAATTGTTTCAGAAATAATATTTTACATAGTTAACTTTTAATGTTTTATACATTATTTATATAATATTTATATATAAAAATCATAGCTCGCTATACGTTGAAATGAAAGGACGGACTCTGTAGTAAGGATGTGCATGTGGTTGACTCATATGGTTATGTGTAGCCCTTTGAAAGGTTTGCATCCAAGGCTGAAAAGCATTTCTTCCTTTCTTCTTTCCTCAGAGGTTCAGTAGAAGGGGTCCCTGCCTACTGCCTGGAGTGGGACCTCTCTTGGAAGGACACTTGTGGATAGAGGATGAGGAAAGCTCTCCCCACGAAGACTTAACCCATGTGTTCTGCCCAGCAGAACCTACCAAGAACTGCCCTAGGGGTCAACCCCAAGACAATAGTGCTTTACACAGCTTAGCAAGAGCATCTCCCACCAAGACACTCTCCACTCCTTTACGCTGACGGGCAGCCTCTCAGGCCTGAGACCATCTGCTATTCTGGCCCCTTCTGGCTTCCAGTAGCCAAAAAGCGTGGTTCGCTTTTCACTCTGTCCCACCCCGCTCCCCTGTCTCTTGCACAGAAACCAGACTATGCCTTTGCTCATCTCTGGACCCTCACAGGAAGTCTCGGCAGGCACACAGCAGTGATTTCAAGGGAGACACAGGAACCAAAGTCTGGCCATTCCTAAGTATGCAAGTGCCTGGTGATTTGCGCATTCACACAGTGGCATCCTGAGTGGGACATTTTCACATCACAGGATGCCGAGTCAAAGAAGACACACGAGGGCCCACACCCTCCATCTCTTCTGACACTGCGCTATTTGTGAAGTTCACTCTTCCACAAAGAGTCTCCTAATCTCTAATGTGAGGGACTGTGGCCTGGGGAGGTGATGACAGTCTCAGGACTGGGGATTTGGATTTGGGGTCTGATCCCTGGACCAAGCAAACTTGCTCATTCCTTGTGTTTAAAACCCAAAACAAAACTTCCTGCACCAAAGTCCACAGCTGGGAGTCGAGTGCGATGGCCAGAGGGCTGGGAGAGGGGAGTTCCACGGCCCTCACTGTGATCGGGCTCCGTGTGCTGCCATGTGAATTTGCGCTTTTCTCACAGGCCTCGGGGGGTCCCAGATCACAAAGGAGCCCAGCAGCCTCTGCTCACATTGTGCTACTGTTTGCTCCTGAACAAGCCTGTGTTCACTAGAACATGAACACTTAGCCCCATTGCACATCCGCGACTCTGGCACTCGGTGTTAGTCTGCTGTCGTTTCCACATAGGTGAACACTACCTATTTTGGAAGGCCACAAAGTAAGACTTTTTTTTTCCTTTTTAAAAATCAACTGGGCGAAAAGTTTTTCCCTACATTCTACTGTCTGATGAGACTGGAGAGAGCAGCAAGAACTTGCTGTCAGCAGTCACTTTACAGAACCCGCACGGGAGGCGGGCAGCACCTACACCATGTTGTGGTGATTGTTCCTGTCAATAATGTCCACAGGGGAGAGAATCTCCTTCCTGATCGCAGTGGGAGGCAGGGTGAGTGTCGTCTTGGTCTTGAAGAGGTCCGACACAAAGAATACCTAGGAGCACAAAGCAGAGATCCAAGTAAGTCGTCAACATCCAGGGTCTGGGGCAGGCAGCAGGGGCAAGGGGAAGAGGGGAGGGACACAGACTATAGGCAAAGGCGGCCCCAAATCAGAGGGAAAGACCCTAGAGATCACACTGTTTAATCTGATTGTTCAGATGGGGACACTGAGACCCAGGGAAGGGGAGTGATATGCCCCAGGTTGAACGGGTGTAAAATCTAGTTTTATGGATTCTTAGTCCAGTGCTCTGTATCTACAACCCTTACTTCCTTAATTCTCAAGGCAGATGAACAATGGAAGATAAATTCCTAAACAAGGGAAGCAAGTCACAATTAGTCATTAATCAAACCACACTACTTTCCCTTTCCTCAATACAGAATCCAGGGTGGAACTGAGAAAGAGCCAGTATGAATTCCTATCAGCTGGTGGTGGAGTAAGGATGCAGCGGTGACCACTTTGCCCTGAAAAGCCTATGATGTCAACCATTTGATGGGGTCAAGAAGCCAGGGCCTTGTTGCCTGCAGGTCAGCAACTAAGTGGGGGAAAGGGTTGATGACAATCTCCTATCCTCAAAGCTGTTCTCTGCCTTGGGATCATTAGGAAACATTCACTGACACCCATCTGCACAGTATAAGGACAGCTCAGAGGGGCTTGCCATCTCTGTGAGCTCGGGAGGAAAAATATAAGACCCCAAGAAGAACATACACTTGGTACTAGATGGCCAAGCAAATATACAGACATTCAGCTGAGCCATAGCCGCAAGAGTCTTATTAGTAACCCTAAATGGGGACTGCCAGTCATGTGATTTAAAGGGAGCTACAAGGTTGGGTTTGAGCTAGAGAATACAATTCTTCCCAAGTTCCTACATCCTGCAGCTTGCTGAGCCAAACTGCCCTGGCATCACCTGCCGATGGTGACAGGTTCACCTAATGATGATGGCATTGCCACTCCTTGCTAGCCACTGATGGGCATGGAAATAGAGTTCCTAATAAGACGTCACCAACATTAAGGCTCTAGAGCCAGGGCCTGGTCCCAGGAAGGCCTTGGGCTATCTAGTGAACTGATTTCTACAACATCCCTTCTGTAGCAACACAGAGATCAATAAAGTGCCATAAAAACCAAAGCAAGAAACTGGAGGTGCTGGTTACCAAGGGAGAGAGGAAGGGGGTGGCTAGAAAATGAGTAGAAAGGAGGCTTACTGGTCACTGTAATACCCTTTGTGCTTTTTAATTTTGTACCTGTTATATATAATGCCTACTCAATCACTGAATATTTTTGTTAAAAAAAAAAAACGAAAGCTAGGCCATTTCTGTGCTACTATAAGAAAATGAAATATTAGCGAACACCTGTAACAATCAATTCACTCATAGCCTGAGTCCACTGAAAATACCATTTGCAAAGGGGAAAAAAACTAAGCCTTTTCTCCCTTTCTTTTCTAAGGAAGTTAGAGCAGGGACGACTTTGGTACAGAAAGGTGTCTGCTAGCCAGCATCAAACCTGAGACCAGGGAAGAACAGACCTGTGGACCACGTACCAGGAAGCTCCAGGCCTCCCAGACCAGGGAGTCCCTCACAAGTGGCCAGGAAGGGGTCTTCAAGTGCTCAGAGGAGGGAAATGCTAACACACATGGCTGAGGTGAAGGTGCTCGACAGTCCGACTTTCAGCTCCTCTCCCATGTGTCTCCTTTTCTCTCCAGCAGCCTCACCTCTGGACAGTGTCTTCTTCTCTACCTGGAAAACTGTCCTCTCTTACATCCTTTACTTTATCTTCCAGGATGTGGGTTCAATCAATCCCTCCATCACTGGTTCTCACTTCCCCTGGATTCGTGAAGTAAGGATTCTCACAGCCCTGATTTCTTCTTCCTGCTCCTCTTTCTCCTCCTCCTCCTCTCTCCCCTTTTCTTTTTCTTTTTCTCTCTCTTCTCCTTTCTCTTCCTCTTCTCCCTCTACTTTTCCTTCTTCTCTTTCTTTCTCCCTTCCTCCATGCCCCTCCCCCCAGGCCATCCCCCCTGCTGCAGGCAAATACAGCAGGAAACAACTGGCCCGTCCCAAACACACACCCCCCCCCCAGGAACTGGAACCATCTGTCCTTCAATCTATCGGCCCATCTCCCAATCTGTTTGATCTCAGAGCCACTACGCAAGACGGTTTTCATTTCCTAACTTCAAGACAGGAATAATACAAAGGGTAAAGCTCACAATGAGCCAAGAAGACCTAAAGCCATGTCTGTTACATAGTTCAGGACAAGGCGCTAGACACCAGAGTCCGTCCTGGGCCTTGACCAGTCCCACTCTCCCACATCTCCGAAGTCGTGCTTATGGGCTACGCTTCCCAGATGGGAGGCTGAGCCCCAGTATCACCCACAGCACTTGGACAGGGCCTTGCACATCCAAGACACTCAATCAATATTTGTCGTTTAATTTCTAAAGTTCTCTCTACTGTCCGGGCGGCAAGCACTCCGGGCCCTTCGTGAGTTTCAGGGAACATGCATACTGAGACACCACACCCCGCTGCTAAGTCACGAGATGAAGGCCTGTGTTGGTCTCGCAGAATCCCGCCTCCAGCTGGACTCCGATCTCAGCGAGGCTTGAGGTTCCACCAACACTTTTGGGGGATCATGAAACACCATCCTGCAAGACTCAAACAGGGCCCAGTCCTCCTAACGCCTGAACAGCACTACACACAAAGGACTAGTAAAAGTGAAAGTGTTTCGGCCTGGAGCACTCTCACTTCCTACAGAAGACGATCTCCACCCAGAAAGCAAACCAGAGGCCCAGGCTGGGAAAGCCTTGCACAGATTCATGGCTATCCCAGTCTGTGGGGCAAACCCACTCCCAGCCCACAGCCCACGCCTCAGCTCTCCCTGGCTGCACTGAAGAACATACTAGGTCTCAGGGAACGAGAAAACCAGACCGAGAGGAGGTCATGGTGACACAGCCCAGCACATTTGCTTTCAGTTTAATTTTTCTGATCCTCTGAACTTTATACATTTGTTTGAAAACAGAACGAATGTGATTCATAAACACGTATTAACTCCTGCTGTGTGTAAGTCCCAGGAATATAAAGGCAGAGTTCTTTGCCCTCCAGAAGTTGACAGGCCAGTGAAGGAGAAGAGGTAAAAAGCCACCGACAGTGCCATGTTTGAAGAACCATGACAGAGGGAAGCACGGTGTCACAGAGTGCAGAGAAGATGGCATCTGCCATACACTGTCGGTGGGAGTGGGCCTCACAAGCCATCTTCCAAGAACAGATAGCTGAGCTCTGCTTTAAAGACCACGGAGCAGCCAGCCAGGTGGTGAAGGCAGGAATGTTGTTCCAGGCAGAGGGCGCAGCTTGTGCACAGCTCCAGAGGGAAAGGGCAGCACTGAGGAGCTGCAGGAAGCTCAGGAAAGCTGGGGCAGAGCATCCCCGGGGCCAGGGGAGCAGCTGGCTCGATCTTGAGAAGCCTCCTCGGACAAGGTAAGCAGTTGAGGCCTCAGCCTTTGGGCCCTGGGAATCATTATCAAGGCTTCAGCAGGGAAGCAGCCCATTGGCAAGGCTCACACTTGGGTCGTGTTAGCATCTGAAATGCAGAAGGCTCAGAGAGGGTGCGGTGAGCTTGAAAGCCAGGGCTGAAGAGTCTAGAAGAGGGTGAGGCCTGAACTCTAACCACATGAGGAAGGCAAAGAGGAAGAGATGGGTTTTGAAAGGTTGAGCCAAGGGCTGCAGCTGACAGAGAGGGCGTGCGTGTGCACGGGTGGGGAGGTGTTGAGAGGGAAGCGATGCTTTTCTTTCTGATTGCTTTCTACTCTAAAATTCCACACACTAGTTTCCATAAATATTATTAAAATGGGGACGATTACACTGAGGGGGGAAATGATAGCTCTGCTTACTTCTGCCTGCTATATTTTGGCTTGGGGAAGTGAGTCTGACCTGCTGAGTCAGAACGTGATCAGATCCAAGGGCAGAAGATGATCTGATCTATCCAAACGCTTGACAATGTAGCTCCTCCTTGGAGAGCAAGCGGAGGCACAAACAAGGCAGCTGGGGGCTGGAGGAAGCTCGATCACATGACCAGGAGATAAGAGCCATTCAGGGAGAGGCTTGTGGCAAAGGGTGTCTGTCGCTGTCTCACCCTCTGCACTGCCCTCCTCTACTCCCCATCTAACAAAACAGCACCAGCACAATTTCTTTTGCTCTTTAAAGTAGAGCACAGTGGCGTCAAATCCAAGTTTTGCCACTGTCAGCCAAATACCTACATGAGGGATATCTATGTATGTCAGGGGGTCCACTCCAAAGGTTAAGTCACAATGGGCAGAAGTCTGGCAGACTGGCCTGTGTGTTCAGTGCCAGATTATACAAAATCATTTCTTTTTCTCTGACCCTTAGGTACAGAGAAGGAAAAAAAAGAACTAGGAAAAAGAAAAGGAGAGAGAGAAAGTAGGAATGATGGAGAATATGAATGAATGTGTAGAAGCTAGATGTGGAGACCTTGCTAGTAGGTAAGATCTGCTTTTCAAGACCTACGTGTCTGGGGTTATTTTGGGGAGCGAATCAGCACCCTGAAAAAGGAAGATGCTTCTGATGAGGCTGTCAGCATTCACCTACTCTCCCTTAGAGAACACCCAGCTCACTCCTGCTGGGTGCTGCCTGGTGAGAGCTCTCCAAGAACCAAGCGGACCGGAAGAAAGAGGCCTGGTCAGTAGGCACATGTCCACTTCCACGGCGGTGGGTGGCTGAGTCAGCAATCTCTGGGGTCATTTTATTAAGGGCAAACTATGGCAACAAAATTGTCTTTAAGTGTTTCTGGAGCCCTTGAGTGTTTCGACTCCTGGCAGTGTGCAAGGGAACCTGAAGACAGGAATCACACCTTTACACAGAGATTCATAGGTGCTCCATTGAGCTTGGATACCAGCGCAGGGCAAGTAACTTTGAAAACAAAAGACTCTTAAAAGCAGAAGAAAACAGAGCTGTCTCTTTGGGTATTTCTCAAGGTACAGATCTCACATCATTCTTTTCAGAGTCACCAGAGTGCTTCTTGTAAAAGCAGAGTCCTACGTGCAGTGCAGTCCTACTGAGCATGTGGCCTGGAATTTGCATTTTAGCAAACACTGCAGATGCTTGTTGTACAGATGCAAGCTGAGAGACATTAGTCGACAATCTATGGAGGGGGAAAGATGGCCTCCCCTCTTAGGTGCGATCGTTTGGGAATGGCTCCTTTATCTCTACTTGGGCACCATGGGCTGCTCTTTCCTTCTCTCTTTGGTTTCTATAGTGGACTTTCAATCACCTTCCATTCCAGCATCAGACCACACTTGATGTGTGGTGCTTTACATGCCATGTCACGTTCCTCCTTCTAGACTGTGAGCCACTCGAGAGCACAGATTGTGTTGAGTCATCTCTGTCCTCAAGGCCCTCCCCTGACCCCATGTGGCAACAGAGCCTGTGGGTGCTGCTCCTGCATTCGCTCCAGTGTGCAGTGGCCATGGGGCTTTCTGGTGTACTGCACTGAGTGATCGTGCAGACTGAGGAAAGAGCTTTCTTAG